TAGTATCAACAGGTTCCTTGAAAATGATAAATGCATTAGAAAGTGAAGTATTCATAAATCATAAACTGGAAAGATTCTATGCCAAAATTTTTTTGATTTGCAATCCAATGAATAACGTTTTTCTTTGATTTGTCAACACTACCCATTTGTTTGTTGTAATCGATTATTGATATCGGACATTTTTTGCTTTATCACCACTTTTTTCTTTTCATTGTGTTATCTCAAAAAAGTGTTCGCATTGTGAAAATTTGATAATAGAAGAACTGTTTTTTTGTTCATCCATTTATGCAAAATCAAATTTTATCGATGTAATATGTTCAAATTCTCCACGTTTCATTCTTGTCTAGAATTACAAAACTCTTGGCATGTTCTATGTGTTGGCACGAACTGTTCCTGCAGTCTAAATTCCATTTTTACACAGATATTCGAGCAAATTCGGAGTTATAAAGTTGTCACAATAAACTGTTCTATAAAAAAATTCTAAATCTGAAATTATTTGTTTCAAACCCATGTTTTATTGGTTTCATTCGTAAATACTGTTTCAACGAAGAACACTCGCTGAATTTTATCGTTGATTCATCAATGCTAACATTTTCACTCAAAATATAATTTTTCTTGAAATTTTGCAGAATAATTTGAAGAAATTGATCTCATTTTTCCATGTTTTTGAATATTTTTCTGATGTCTTCGAAGGCATTTTCTTATTATCTGCCTAATGAATATTATTTAGAATTTTGTGAAAACATATGACGTTGTTTCACATATAATCGGCACTTGAAAATTCAAATCTGATGACCAGTAAAGTGTATATGATGGTAATTTGTAATATACCATCAATATATTCATTTCAGTCCATGATCTTATTTCTTTCATTTTGGCTGAAATTCACTTTTCGCCATCCTTTTGAGTACCATAAGTGTTTGTTTGTTTCAGAACTAGTTCAAAAACTTATTCAGTAAAAAATAATTTAAAAGTATCAATCGGGCGGAATTTGAACTCATTTTCGTAAAAGATTTTCGACTTGTCATTGAATTTTTTTCGATTTCTCTTTGAAACATTGTAGCACCATACGAATCTATTTTGACCGTATTGATCATCAGAACAGTGATTATTCTCTTCAGAGGAACTATCAGAATCACAAAATTTTGAAAAATTCTCTTCTTCAAAATCAAATTCACATTATATTCAAAATAATTGAAAAAAGTTTTAGTAAAATCATTTCAAAAAAATTCTTTTCAATTATTTTAAATATGTTTCATTAAAAACGTTAAAAAGTCGAAAGATATTAATAAAATCAAATTCACTTGAATCGCTCATTCGTGATGTTTATTTGTTTCTAATTATTCATATCTTGAAATAGGATATCATTCACTTGACTTTAGTCTAAGGTCTTACAAAATGGGTGACTGTCTATGTGTCTCTTGTGTGGGTCTGCGTTTTGAGGGTGAGGGTAAAAAATTTGCTGCAGAGATGAGTGCGAACAGAAAAACATTAGCTTGTCTCATGTGCTGCTGAAAGGGAGTGTGAAAAATACTGAAATACTAAATCTTCAAGAAAGCCGACTAGATCAGAAAATCTTAACCATTAAGTGTAGCCGTAGACGGAAAAGTTTCAATTTAAATTTTATCCTGCTGTGCATAACTCTTGAAATTTATAATGGCTGATCAAAAACGCGCATCCACAATAAGCCGGTAGCGATTCAAATTGGGAGTTAAATGATGTTTTGTACTTCTTTTGTGTTTTGTTTCTTGTAAGTGGAACCACCATAAAGGACTAGAAAAAATCTTTTTGATATCCTAAGCATTTGGTGAAAAATGAACTAATAGGGTGAAACATGTGTTTACACTTTTTACCACATTTTTGAAAAAATTTCCACTTTTTCGACTTTTTATTGCGCTTTTCTGACTTAAGCATCTGGCAACTCGGATGTGTACAGGAAAATGGCCGTCAGATATTTCATGGAGAAGTCAGTCAAAAGAGAGAACGAAGAGATTTATCGCCTATTCTGGCTGCGAACGGCGACCGAAGGGAGGCATGAGCATTGTGTTGAGTTTAGAAATACCTTTAGACCCCTGGAGATCTTTGGAGAGTCTCAAGAAAACGTTTTAGATTTATATTAGATTACGACGATTACACATCAAATCAGAGAAATATTCATAACATATTGTAGATGGTTCCCTAGCGAACACCAACCGATGAGCGGTGTGAGCGCTGTCTTCGATTCAAAGTCACGGAAGGTCGTTCGCAGATATTAAGGGCTCCCTCCCCCTCAAAATCGAATCTCAGCTAAGGTACAGGCTATAAACGTGAAATTTTCAGCATTTGTTGGTACTGATGAGAGGAAGCTGTGGTAAATTTTCAGGTCCATATCATGTGTCTGAACGAAGATATTCACCAAACAAGCCTAAAAAAATAGCTCTTTTTCTCCGCCAGATTTCTCCGTAAAACTTCATTGAACATATCGATATTTTTTTTTCTTTGAAAGAGCGTCAAAAACTGCAGGTCGTGTGAGAGCCCGTTTTTTTATAATGTTACTTGATATACGAAAAAAATCCATAGAAAGGTCAATGTCTCAAAAAAAAGTGCTTGAAAACACGAAAAAAGTGGGTATATATCTTTTTTTGTACTAAAATTGAAGCTAAATTTAAAAAAAGGAGTCTCAGTGTGTCTGCAGCTTTCGACGCTCATTCAGACAAAAAAAAAATATTGGGCTTTGTGTTGTACTTTGGTTGAGTAATCTTGGAAATACGTCGTAAAACCCACGTTCTGAGAAAAATGCAAATCAATTTTTTTTGAAAAAAAAAAATTTCATGATGGTTAGTAGAAGTTAATGGAAATCATCAAAAATTTCGGTCAAAAATGGGGTGCCGAAGAAAAAACCAATAGTGTTTCTGAAAGAGCAGAAGACGGGCTATCTCCCCATGTATTTATCTCGATTTCGAAATTTTTGACGAAAACTGACTTTTTTGAGGGGGGAGGGGGGCCTTAAGTTCTTAAAGTCAAGAAGGCGAGCGAGTGCAGACGAGTGTTATTTTGCATATAATCAACAGCAAAAGAAAAGCTAGAAACTCCTACAGTAATTGCCAATAAAAATAAAGCATAAAAATAACAGTTATGCACTTATTAACATCCATATTACTACAGACATCTATTTTATGGTTTAGATAGAAGCAATTATTTATAACTACGTTCAACAGTCAGAATTTTGCTGTCACCCGTAAAATAATATCAATTTTTAGAATAAAGATATTGTTCCAAAAACTCATCAGGCTTACCACTGATCTCATTAGCGTTATGGGCTTACATGAATCTATGTTCTCAAGTGTCGTCTATACAATAGCGAAAACCGCATATCAATATCTCTCCCCGTTCTTTGTCGACACCTTGAAACAGATGCAAGCCCTGTATCGTGTAAAATCCCAAACCTTTATATACATAAGCAAATAAGAATACAGGATTTAAGTAGATACATTCTGTATCTGTATTATGACAGCACGAAGGTTGAAAAAGAAATCCGATGCGCGACGAACTTTCATAGAGTAAGAAGTATCCTAGAATAAGATCTGTTCGGGTAAGAAGTGTCCTATGAGAAGAAATGTCCGGGGTAAAAATTTCCGATACGAACTGTTTGTAGAATATCAAACCAAATACTTGTTTTTCATCTAAAAAATGAAGCAAAATTACGATTCTTACTTGACACAGCTCATTGTAACCAGTCGAGGTCGGATCTTTATCTCTACACTGCCAAGCTATTTTTACTATAGGAAAGTTTCAGTCATCGAATGACGCATTTCCATTATATCGTCGTTTACAAGCGTTTGTACAGCGTTTGAAACGAAAAAGAAGCCTCGTAGTATATTTCTTTACGCGAAGAAATAGATAAAAATTCTATTTCATTTCTTTTTCTCTTGTTTTGCAGAAACAAAAAAATCTGAGATAGATATGAATATAACAAATTTTCATTTTATGTGACTAAATCATTCAGTTTGTTTTGAAAAAGAGCGAATTTTCACATTTTCAAAAAAGGATATATTCTACATTTCCTAACCGTAAATTCTATTCAGTATATAAAAAGATCCCAAACTTCTGCGGAAGAACCTTGAGTAGAAGTTCAAATTCAACAGTGTTCAAGTGCATGTTATTTGAAGAAGAAAGACGTGTTACAAATATAAAACAACCTGCTTCTTTTATTCATATAAAATGAAAATTTGTTCTTTTCTTACCTATATCAGATTTTTCTATTTCTGCAAAATAAGAGAAAAAGAAATGAAAGTGAAAGAACTTTTGTCTTATCTACGGGCAAAGAAATATATACATAGAATATCGTCTACGTCTATAATCGAGTGATTCAGTTATTTTTGACGCCTTCCATTAACAGCAAATGTAATGACGTGTGTGTGTGTGTGTGTATTGGAAAGAAAAGAAGGGGGTGACGTATTTATCATGTTAGATGTTCTTGATTCAGAAAAAAAGAAAAAGAAAGAAAAAAGCAAACGTGTTGGAAGGGCATGTATTTGTCATTTATTCCGTCATTACTTAAAAAGAAAAGCGTATATATAATACAACACGAGCTGCTATCATTTATCATTTCTAATTTTGTCTAGTTTATTTTTCATCAACTGCAACAACAAAAAATATGAGTAAGTTTGTATTGCATCTTACGAGTCATACGGTTTCTGGATGATCTATACTAGCTAATAAGATCCTTCGAAGAATCCATTTTCACCTCGATCGTTAGCATTATCATCTATTACGATAGCCTGTTGAGAAGTGCGTATAAAGTACAAAAAGCAAATTTGTCGCATTATGGACACTTGCTTTTATACACGTCGATAACCGATAACCGATATCTAATGTATATATGTAAAAAGTGCCACATGGACTGAAGAAAAGACGAAAGGATACCAGGGAGTTCGATGAGAAGAGGTTAAAACGACCCGTTGTTTCCGAAAGAAAAAAACTGAAAAAAATACACTAGCGTTCTAACCTTCTGTCATTGATAAATGACCCGTACATGTTTTTTGAAATAGATTTCATAACCAAACAAGTTGAAAAGAAATTGGGTATGGATTTGAATGGAGATGGCATGATCGGTTCTGGTATGAGTTAGTTTTCATATAGATATATTGCATGGACTAATCTCGTTTCATTTTTGTAAAAGGGCGTGGTCATGGAGCTTATGGTGGTTATCGACCACATGGTAGTGGAGGTGGAGGGGGCTTGATTAATCAAATCGAAAAAGTTGCACATATGGACCTGAATGGCGATGGACGTATCGGCGGTGGCTCTCCTTATTCTTCAAATTACAATCAGTATGGCGCACCTAATTATCAGCAACCGAACTATAATCAGTACGGTGGTGGCCCATCTTATCCTCCAAACTATAATCAGTACGGTGGCCCACCTTGTCCTCCAAACTATAATCAGTATGGCGGCCAATCTTATCCTCCAAACTACAACCAGTATGGTGGACCTGGATACGCTCCAAATTATCATCAGTCTAGCGGTGGGGGCTTGATTAATCAACTCGAGAAAGTTACACATATGGATCTCAACGGTGATGGCCGTATCGGCGGTAATCCTCCTTATGCCTCAAATTACAACCAGTATGGTCACAGGCCTTATTAAACAACACAAGATACATTGTGACCTAACTATTTTCTTTTATTGTCAATTTTACCCTAGCGATGTAAATGTTTGTTAAAAAATAATTTCAAAAGGTCAGTGTACATTCATAATCCCATAAAGTGCAACTAACTGCAGAGAAACAAGAAAGAAGACAAAAAAAGGAGAGGATACCCCTGGCTGGAAAAATGTCATCTTTAATTCTTTTTAAAAATTTCAGTATTAAAAGTATTAAAATTTAAAAACTTTGCGAAAATTCTTTTGAAAAAAAATTTCTTTTTTATTACTATGCTGTTTCTAAAATGGTGAGGTCAACAAAATTCCAGGCTTTGGTTTTCGGTGAGATGTCTGGAAAGTCAGGGGTTTCTCTTGAAATTTTTTCGACTTTTTCTGCACAGTAGTGAATTATATGCATTGAAGGCACTGATCACAAATATGGCTTCATTTTTGAATAGGAAATTTTCATTATGTAGAAATTATGTTTTACTCTCTGGAGACTTGCGATCATAACGATTAGAAAAAAATGCTATTGTACGCTATTATTTGTATGCTATTGTAACTGAAAGCGTTTATGAATCCTTTCTAAACACAAACTGTGCTGGAAAGGAATTATTGTTGCGTTAATAGTGTATTCAGTATACTGTCATCCTTATTCAAAGCAGTAATCTTTCCATTTTTCTCTTTCCCTTCTGTTTTTGTATATGCATTTGTAATAATTTGATGTTTAACGGAGTCAGAGAGATTACACAATCTGTTGAAAACATCTGTCAACTTATGCATATGCTTAAACTTATAACTTAAAAAGTCACATGTCCGCCTGCTCTATCAAAAACTGACCACTGTGCTCCACTCAGAAACCATTTTCGTCCAGGAGCATTCGATCTTGATGAAAATTTCAATTTCAATTACAATGTGTACCTTGAGGTAACCTAACAGTCATTTTTAATAGTTTCGGCCTTTTGTGACTTGTTTTCCCAGCGTTATTCTTAAATTAGTAGTGAAAAAGTATGATTTCGTACTTCCAAGGTACCGCTACAAATTTCGGGTTGATTTCAAAAAATAGAGAAATCTTTTTCTTGTTTTGTTTAGAAGAAATTTAAAAGTTTCCTAAAAATTAGAGAGATTTTTTTTTCTTTTCGAAAACTTTTTAAATTTCTCATAAACTAAACTTAAATTGAATAATCCAACGACGTCACAAGATAGAAAGAACATTTCTTTGCTTTTTGAAACCCACCGGAAATTTGTAGCTCAAAAAATTACGGTGGAATCTTGGAAGTACGTAACTCTGTAGTCGCAATAGGAAATTTTCGAAAACGTGAAAAAAGTTTCCATATTGAAACAAGGATCTACTATACGTTTTTGACTATGAGGAATTCAGCAGACATATTCTGAACTATATGCGATCTCTATTATCGCACGAGACATCTATATTCCATCTGGTTTCCATGCTAGAAATACATAATTTTAATACTGTGCGGTAATTACAATAAGGTTTTTTTATTGCAATATCACTGCATGTACTAAAATACATGTCGCACACGTCTCTGCATGCACTCGTTGGATTCTACGTAGTCAAAAACCTATACTTCTAACCTTTCTTTGTGACAAAATACGAAGAACAGGACATAAAAAACTATTATTTTTATAATCGGAAGCTTTCAGTAAACCAACTAGAAAATCATCAAAAGCCATTTCTCGAGGCATAAAAAATAGTGCGTTGAAAACAGGACTCTCAGGACTACTCAATCATATATAAATCTAAAAATTGATTTTTTTAACAAAAATCTACTTTTCTGAGTGGAGGGGGTCCTTAACACTTTGGGAAAAAAGAAAAAGAAAAGAAAAAGGATTTTTTTAACATGAGAATGAGTCATTACTTTAATAGGATCGTTTAAACGAGGTGTTCTATGGATGACACATGACGCAGAAAGAAAAAGATGGAGCATCATGAAGACATCGAAAAGACGCAGGTAGAGCACTATTCTTATACATCGAATGTCATCAAATCCGGATATTTTTAAGTCCGGGATGCCTTTTTATCCGGAAATCCTACTCGCCTGTGCAACTCCACCCGGATGTAATTTCATCTAGATTGACAAGTCCGCAAAATTTCTGTATAAATTTCCCTCGATCAACTCCGGTAAAAAACATTCTATATGAGTTTTTCACTTGCAATAAAAGCAGTGCAAGGCTGATTGTTAATCAGTTGTATATTAGTCTTAGATCGTACGTCAAGTAAGCCCACTGCGACTTAAGGAGGATTTCAAAATTCTTTACTGTTTTGCTCTTGAACGAAAAGACTGTTTAAAAGATAGTAAAGAAAGAAAGGAGTAAAAGAGTGAAGAAGGAAAAAGTAAAGAAGTGAGGTAGAAAAGTAGTAAAGCAGGAAGTAAGAGAGTAAAGAATCTTGAAATGCTCCCTTAATGAGGGAAGTCCGCAACAGGAAAAATGTCTCATATTTCTAATAATTTAATGATAGTATTTTTACTGCAGCAAGTCCAAAATAGGCTATTCTCAGTTCTGTCAATAGTTTAAAAAGGAATAAAGTAAATCTTTCTATAAACCTCTATTTTATTTTATTGGAAGTATCCACCGCTCTCCCGAACTGTCTCATAATTTAAAAGTAACAAAAGAAAACTATTTCACTATTCAGGTCGTTCATTCCTGACTCATGATCCGGTCGGAGCGCGTCGGATCCGACGTCGGAAGACACTGGCAGGCGTTGAATGCCGACAAAATCCGTCCCGATCCGTGGTGGATTGCATCGGACTTCTATTGCCCGGATTCCGATCGGAAATTGGAAGAAAAGGATCAACCGTCAGAGATAGCATCGGAAAACACCAGATTTACGGGTAGTTTTTCTAGCCATTAAAAGCTAATATTTAGCCATAGATATCTTTCTTCTTGTTTACCATTTATTTTTTGAATCAGGTCCTAAGACTAGCCCAAGGCATGTGTGACTGACTGAGTCACATATCTTTGAACAGCGGTGAGTTTCGATGAGTGTTCAGTACGAAAACTTACAGAAAAAAAATCTCACATTTCGTGTTCTATAGTGTTATATTTATACTAAAAACATCGAGAAACAAATCGGTGAATTTATTCACCGTATAGAGCAGCAAAAGGAAAGAAAAGAAAGCTACAGGTTGATGGATCCGTTCACTTTCGGCCATAAGATCCGGTGATCGGTCCACCTTAGTTCCATACATTGGCATATAACGGAAGGAACAGAATCCGCTCACCGGATCCAGTCAGATGTCAGACAGTCGGAAATAGTCACAATTAAACAGATCTGATTGGAGATGTTTCACCTGGGCATGTACAACACACAGAATAGTGCACAACAAAAAGATAGAATTCAAAACTATACATACAAAGAAACACAAGAAAAGAATAAGTTCATCTGAACTAATAATAATGGAAGAAAGTAGTCACTACTTTGATGACAGTTTTTCATAAAAACAATCTATCTATCTATCTATTTGATCAGTCACCATTTTGTGCATCCCATTCGTTTTTGTTTCTTGCCAATTGTATAGCTTCATCGTAAATCAACCCCATTTCCTTTAATGCTCTAGTAATTGTTTCTCTCCATGATGTTGGTGGTCTTCCCATTCTTGTTTCTCCTTGTGGTTCCCATTGTAATATCTGTTTAGCGAACCTATCCCTGTCCATTCTTATTAGATGCCCGAACCAACGTAGTCGTTGCTTTTTCATAGTTTGCACAACGGCTGGTAACTTAACTCTTTCTCTTATTTCTGCATTTGATACCTTGTGCGTCCAGTTGATTTTTAAAATTTTTCTCAAACATATGTAATCAAAAGAATTTATTTTTCTTCTTGTTGTTTGGTTACCTGTCACGTTTCACTACTATATATGAGCACTGCTATTACATTTGCTCTGTACAGTTGCATCTTTGTTTTCAATGGAATACCTTATTTTGCCATACTTTGTTTAGTGCTTTCAGTGCATATGCTGCTTTAGCTATTCTATTGTTTATCTGTATCATGATGTCACCGCTTTGAGATATTTTGCTGCCCAGATACATAAACTCCTGCGCCTTTGCCAATTTATTGTTATTAACCATAATCTCTACATCATCTCCAACTTGTTTTCATTTACCACCATAATATTTGTTTTCCTTGCATTTATTTTTAGCCTTGTTGATTTACTATGAGTAACTATACGATCTGTTTTTTCTTGCATTTTCTGTGTATTATCAGCTATAAGTACGATATCGTCTGCAAAATCCAAATCTTCTATTTCCTGTTTATAATTCAGTTTAACTCCCAACTTTTGATCTTTCAGAGCTTTTTGAAGTACCCAATCAATCGCAAAAGACTGTTTTGCATTTCGTATTGTTTCCGTAGCAATAAGGTTTTACTGCAAGGTTGGCTAGGCCACAAACCCTCCTCTTTTATCCGGGCTTGGGACCGGCATCGAAAGATGGCAGAGTTATAAAAACAATAGTTTGTCATATACAATTCCATTATTTACTTTTTCATTTAATTAAGCACTTGTTAACCTGCAATTTGCCGTACGTCGATATTTAACACGATTACCGTCTTCATCAACATCAACTTCAAATAATTTACTTATCCTGTAAATTACCACGACGTCGTTTTTCAGGAACAATAACAGCATCTAGGGTTCTATGTTAATAAAGGAACAAAGATACCAGTAGCAGTCGTTGTAGCTGTAGCTCCGATAACCAGAAAAAGAGGATAAAAAATATTAACTTCTTGTTCGAAGTAACAAGTTAATTTTTTTGAAAAGTTTACAAGTTAATCGATTGATTACGCCAATTAAAGAGCAGATTCCATCTAAAATCGATACAATTAATCGTTTACTTCATCAACATGAACATATAGTCTCACAACAACAGCAGCTTATTGATCTTGTTTTGCAAGGTCTACCAGTATGTGATCTCGTATCTTCATCACCTTCTCATTCTTTACCAATACCTTGTCTGAACAAAAAAAAGTTTGATGGTTCGGTAACCTGTTTGATCACCAAACTAAAACTGCCAGATTTATCTACACGGAGGAAGTATTTTCGGTTATTATATTTTTTCAAAATTAAAAATTTTCTCTCATATCTCTGCATTTTCGATCCACCCTTTATAAAACCATTAGCAGACAAAAGATCAGACCGTTTAGTAATCGTTAGAACGGTATACAGGTTGAGACACTGACAGTATCGAAAGAACCCGTGGCTTCTTCTTTTTTCTACTGTACTGCTGTTGACTGGAATTCCCTGCCACATACTGTTGTATCTTGTCAAACAATTCTTACTTTCAAACGAGCGTTACGCGCTCACCTGTCCTTATAAGTGTGTTGTTTTTTTCTTCTATATTCTCTTTTCGCGGTTATTCTCTTTTGCGCGTGGTGGCACTTTATTTACAAGCCTTTGGTTGTTTGGTGCTTTCCTTCATACACTCAGAAAGATAATTGCAGGTCGGAGAGTTTTCGAGAAAAATCAGCTTAAAAAATATCATACGAGAAAATTTTTGAAGTTCTCTTGCTGAAAAAATATATCTTTGGGTTTAACAAAGAAAAATCTTTACACCCAGAACGACTGGACCCGGTCGAATCAAACGCGAAATCCGCTCGAAACCGATTCGGGTTCGGGTTAAACCCGCTGTTTTAAACTTTCTGCTAGCGAAAACAAAAACAGAAAACGCATTTTTGCTTTTCTCTGTAGAAAGATAAAACACGGTATACCGAAAAATGTTAAAAGGAAAAATATCAAAAACGATGGCGAATTCAACGGAGGTACTACCCAGGTTTTCTGGAGGATGGTTGGGGAGACTTCTGGTGTTATCAGGTTCTTTTACGTCCACGTCCAACGCATTGTTTACATTCTGTTTTAGCTTCTATTGTTCTATTTTATCCAGCTTCATTACTAAGTGTTCTCTTTCAGATTGTTATTACTTAGTCTTTTCAACTTTGGCAATCTCAAATTATGGTGCGCATAACCAAACAGCAGGAACATCTGAGAGGGCTAAGTAAAAAGCGGTTAGCAACACAAGATGCGGAGTCACAGGAATCTGATGATGATGGGATAGAGGAGATGGAGGTGGATACAGCTGAAGATGATAGGGAACCAGTGAATTTCATACTAGTTAACCATTGTCGAACGCGAGATGGTTTACAGATGCCAGGAAAAATCTGGCCATCATGTTAATGTGACTCGGGGCTTTATCGAAAAGAACTACATTTCGATAAGACCAAATTGTTTTAATGAAATTTCCGATTTGAAAAATGATGTTTTTACGTTGTGCTGTAGTGAGATCATACGAGAGAGTATTTTTAATATAAACGATTTGATTCGTCTCACGCTCAACAGACACATGAGTCTCATCAGTAATCGAGTCGCGGAGCAGATCATACACGGGTTGGAAAAAATTACATTCGATTTATAGATGGTACGCTGATTCAGATTGATCGCGAAACATACATTTATTTATATCGACAATCAACTAAATGAATATTCTAAATGTTGAATCATTATTAATATCCTCAATATTACTTTTCAGAGATGTTAATCTTGACGCAAAATAAACTTCTTTCAGACGAAACAAATAAAAAATATTCTGAATAAAGCTATTAATAAATAGTAACATAAAAATGTGACAAATGTTCTTATTTGGAATTCACTTATGGTTACTTAAGGACACGGAATTTCAATAGGAGAAGAAAATAAAAAATAAAATTGGTGCCGTCACCCTTTAAAGGAAAAGAAAAAAATATACTTATTACATAGACTACTTTCTTTATTTCCTTCTTTTTACCGATCATACCAAACTTATTTTTCTTTTAATAAAAAAAGAAAAATTATGTTTTATTAACAGAAAATTATATTGAAACACAGTAGTCTGGGTTCATTATTGAAATAAGTAAAGAATAAAAAGAGAGGAGTACAACTCAAGCGTTTTGAATTTAAAATTCATTATAGAACACGATTATTTAAGAAAACAACATCAGTGCAAAATAATGTCTGTAATGAGTTTAGATGAAAGTCAAAATGCTTATGATAAAGTCTATCAAGGTTCAGACCACCATAAAAAATCATGGACACATGAATTAATTGCTGGTGCAGCTGGTTTTGCTGGTATGTAGTTTCTCAATCTATCATCTTTCTATTTACTGTGTTTCTTTTTAACTTTGTTTTTGTTTTAATAGCAATGAAAGCATATGAAGACCATTGTCGTGATTCAGGTGAAACAGTTTCACATGGAAAAATGAAAGAATTATTAGCTGCATTTGCTGCTGCTGAAGTTGATAATTTAGCTGAAACAAAGGGATTAGATTTTTTGGATCTAGAAAAGACAAAACTTATGGCAAAACATCAAGCACACAAGTTAGCTGAAGAAAAGTATGGACCAGGAAGTGCCGGACCTGGTGAGCAACAACAACAGCAAAGTGATGATGGAAACTATTAGCTACAATATTACCACTAAATAGACACTATTTAATAGTTATTCGTCTTCTTTATCCGTAAATAGGAATGTACTAGTGTGGATGTGTTTTTAGTAAATGTCTTCTAATATCTTTGGTTTAAAATAAAGCACATCTCAAAAACAGCAAAACTAAAAAGATTTCTTTTTAAGCCGGAAGCCTTAAAGAAGGTACTCCCTCCTCCTGTAAACGGTTTGGGGAATTCTGTATTAGACTTATATGATTGAGCATCATACCTGCGATCGTTTTCTCCCTGAACCCTGAAACACTTTGTTATCTTCTCGCTAAATTCTTTGGCTTTTATGATTTTTTCGTAGTTCAACGTCGAGTGTGTTCCATATTCTGGTGATTCTTGGAAAGAAAGAAGATTGATAATTAGTTGTTTTTCTAAATATCTGTCTTACTTTATATAACTTATTAGATGAAGTGTGATAATTTTGATTATGCATGGGATGAATGTATTTACATAAAAATGTCGGTGCTTGATGTGTGACAATTTTATATATTAATTTTAGTTGAAAGATGTTAAATGTTACCACAAATGTTGTCCATCCTAAAATAACTCGAACTTTTCGCTGATTTGATAGACACGATGTTCCTGATACTATAAGTGAAGCTTTGTACTGTAACTTATCGAAAATATGCATATTGCTTTTATTTACATACACACAACATGCATAGGTTATTAACGGAAATACATAGGCTTTATACATTTGATTGAGTATCGATGTATTGAATATTTTTCTGAATGTTCTGCTACAGCTGACAAGATCTTGGACAAAATTCCGAAAAATCAACCACATATCAAAAACTAGATTTTTATTTACTTTTTAAGTAAAATTTAAACAAACATTATCTCAAACCAGCATGACTCGAAGAGACAGCCAAAAAGTCATGATGGTCAAAAAGAATTTATCTAACTACTGAACATAAAAGAAATTAGAAGTTGTTCTTATACCCAACTGTTAGACATACAACTGAAGAAATACTAAGTACAACTTGTGTATTTCAAACTAGCATAAAAACCAGAGAGGGGTATGTGAAGAATGGTGCCGTTCTTCTCATCGGGACTTTTTTCGAAAAGTCGGCGAAACGAGAATATGACTTCAAAAAATATCAAAGGCGGGAGGGCGGTGTGAGAGTGAGTCGGCGAAACGAGAACTAATCATATCTATTGCAACCTATAAGTTTGTAACTTGTAACCGTAAGAATATAGAAAAGGGTAAGTTTCTCTTTTCTTTGTGTTTGATTAAGCTCTTCTAATCAATACGAATCGTCTTATTGTTGTTGAGAGCAGACTAGAAAGATGAGAGCGAAACGAGCATTACGTCATTCCTCTCTGTCGTCGAGGTGATAATCTTTTTGTTTTCCCACTATTCTTAGTATTTTTTTTAAATTTATTTATTTAAACAGCAAATCGAGTCATTTAGACCCATTATAAGTTGTGTCGAGCACAAAGGTAGTCTTAGTACTTCAGTTTTCTCTAGTGTCATACACTGCAGGTTGAAATCCATTTTTGAATATTGTTCAACGATGGAAAAATTAAACATTTTCAATAAAAATACACGCATTACGTCAGGCCTCTAGCATAATGAATGAAATGAAATCGTTTTCATTGATTTTTTTTCTGTTCTGTCGCGTAACTACATTACGTAGGCAAGAAGAGCTCTCGTATATATTTAACCTATATATATACTTAGGGTGTAACACCAGTTTCACATTCTATGCTGATTGTTTCTGATCCCGATGTAGGGTTTTTCTGGTACTTACATCAGCTGTGTACTACACTACCGAACGGAATCTTTTCAACTTTCTACGATCCTTGATTTACAATTACTTTTCTTCCACCTATGTTTTTAGATGGATAAAGAGTGCATACGGTACTACATAAAAACTCGCTCGTGATTGGGCTTAAATGCTACTCAAATCCATGACGAATTGGCCACTACTTACGGTCAAGGTTATGTATCATATCGTACAGTTGCCCGCTGGTATCGTGAATTTTCAACTGGTCGAGAGTCTCTGGAAGATGATCCTCGGAGCGGTCGCCCAATAACCGTCGTTACTCAAGAAAATATTGACGCTGTCAAAAATCTGGTTCATGATGACCCACATATTAGTATTGATATTATTGCCGAGACCTTGGATATATGTCGTGGCAGTGTGGATACTATATTGAAACAACATCTGCACTTGAGAAAAATGTCGTCAAGATGGATGCCTCATGAACTGACATAGGAACAACGACGGCGACGTGTGAACATTTGTACCAAGAACTTGGGAAAAATTGAAAGTGGTGCATGACGACTATGTGATATTATCACTGGCGATGAGATGTGGGTTTACCATTGGAAGATTGAATCAAAACAACGATCAAAAGCGTGGGTAGCAGAGGGAGAAAGTCCTCCGACTGCCGCCAGAAGGCAACTGTATGAAAAGAAAACAATATTTGTCACCTTCTTTATAACTACCGGTCTATTGCTTATTCATCAAGTGCCTTCTGGAGTATCTATTATCATGATGAATTTTAAAACCATTGCTCAAGAAGTTATTGAAAAAACGACCGGCATCACGAACAAACGGGCCTTGCATTGTCATGATGGTATCAAGTTCCATCATGACAATGCAAGGCCACATGTGAAAGATGTTGTGATCAATTATCTTCAAGAAGAAAAAATCAAATTTATGGCTCATCCGCCATACTCGCCTGATCTTGCTATCTTAAAGATAGACTTGATACATATCCGGATGTAACAAGTTTGACGAAATCGATGATAACCAAGGAACTAAATTCGACACCTGTTGACGAGTACAAAAAGACATTTCAGAAGTGGATTGAAAGGATGAAACTTTGTATCGAACATCAAGGCGACTACCTCGCACATTTACTGTAGAGAGGTAAATGAAATGTCTTTTTCATGAATAAATATTTCAAAGTGATAGAACTCTTTGGACGCCCTAAGTATATATTACAACTGTTGCATACCTACACCGTCCTCCATCTGTCTATCGATACCTTTATGTATATACCCAAAGGTACCCCTGTCTACTCTTACCTGCCTCGACGTACACATAGTCTTTATTACACGACATTTTACTCAATCTCATACCACTGCCCTCGCCCTGATTTCCAATGTTCTTGTAGATCGAACTCCACTTAATACTGTTGTACATCCTGGTAGATTTTAGCAGGTATATCAAGTCTGGATTGCGGCGATGCTTTAATATTCAGGTTGCGAGAACGCCAAACTGTCATCCTGTATTCATTTTAGTGATGAAACAGCAATTTCAATTATAACAAGTGAACATTTACACCATTATATATTTGTTAATCAGATCAATAAAACAACAATGGTTATTCATCATAAATCTTTGTCACCAATATTAGATCCAGTCATTTAGTTATTAATAAAACCAAGAATAAATATCTACATTAAATTAAACAAACTGGAAAATGTAACACTAAGAAATGTTGCTGTAATTGCTGGTGCTATCAACTGTACCATGACTCATGATGATGGCTGTGATCAGTTCTATTTCTCTACATATTCTGTGAATAATATAACATTACAACTGCTTGATTTCAAACGATTTGATGCTTATTTATACCAAACAAGTGACACAAGATTTCTGGCCGAATTGACGGACAAGCAACCGTCAGATATAACACAACTGTTGGTTTTACTCATATGATTGGATTTTATAGCAGAAAAACAGAACTGACTGAGGAAGATGCCAATGACAATTATAGTGAGAAATTTTACATTATAAAAAATGATGATAAACAAAAAGAAGAAACAACAATGACAAAGAGATAATAAAGTATTTGACAAAACTCAAATTTTACTGAAACTAGCAGTTCGGAAAACCACTTAGGAAAAACTTTTATTTTTTTGCTCAGTAATCTCCCGTTTAAGCTCAAAATTTTTTACTACTGTATACTAAATGATGTGGAGATTCATAATTGACAGCTCATTGGTTACTGCAGTCTTCGTTTTCGCTTAAAATTAATCTTCCTACAGATGACGCTATTTTCAGACTAGTTTTTAAGTAGATGGTTTTCTACTCTCCTTGAACTTTATAACAAAATTTTTCGCTCATAACAAATATATCGCACAGTCAGCATACATGTGCGTTTATTCATCTGAAAGACAAACGGACAACGTGAGACATTTTAAATGTTTCAGTGAGTGTATATCAATACGATTAGAGAGAAATATCGCTCAGAACATAAAAATGCAAATGTAGAACTGTATGTGTGCGGGGGGGAGGGGCGAAGGAAGGTGGCTGTGAGTATCTCTACAACAAGAGAAGCGTATTAATGACATGTGGAAAACCAGAAGAAAGAAAAACAAGCGTGGCTGTACGCGTTTCACGGTTGCTCAAGCCGATCGTCAGCAACCAAAGAAAGAAATAAAGACATGTATAAAAATTACCGAAAGAAATTCTTCTTTTGTATATAAGAAGGAGAGAAAAAATGAAAATTTTTTGAAACATTTAAAATGTTTCACGATGTCTGTTTGTCTTCCAGATGAATAAACACACATGTATGCTGACTGTGCGATATATTTGTTATGAGCAAAAAATTTGTTATACAGAAAAACCTATAAAAAAGTGTTTGTAGTAACTGTATAATAAATTTTTTTCAATCAGATATTTTTCCTTCGGAAAGGTCACGTCTGACTTTGGCTCTTACTTATAATACGACAAATAATTAGCTTATTTTCTGGACTTTGTATACTTCATTTGCTTAATTTTGTTGTTAATGATATTAATATGGAGCAGACTACTAAATCTCAGCGAAAGATAATTGAAAATTATAAATGATTTACTGGAAGTAACCATGACCAACACGAAAAGTAAATAAGTGTCTCTATTAACCTGTTTCATTACAATTAGCATCCTAATGGTCTGATTTTAGACCGGGAATGATTGAAAATGCCCATAAGTTAACTATCAAGCGAAATTTACGTCATTCTTTTTTAACCCGTAACAAAGCTGGAGAATCTTTGTGGCAGCATACAGGTATAAAATCGCTTCACCCGTATTGTAAACAGATACATCATTGGCATGAGTATTATCGACATCCGAACAGATACAGCCGATATCGTCAACATATATGTGTTTCCGTAGAATATCGAACGTGGTCCATAGAAAGCGTTCATAAATAAATAAATAATATAGGGCAAAAAGAAAGCAGAATAGGCAAAAATCGTGATTATAGCAGCAAAAGCGAATCGTTTATCGATCCGCAGCTCTCGTTTATCTCGTTCTGTTGTATTAGTGTTGCTCGCACAAATTAAACGATTTAACGTTAAGTAGCTGCGAAAACTCGTGACAACCAAAATCGAATACGCAGGTAATACATTAGTGAACATTGGCAGTATAGCATGAACACGACTTTTCCACGATAATGAAACCACTTGCGCAGAACACCATAACCCAATTCCGTCTAATCTGTACGGACTAATATCAAAGAGCGGTGGTATTGCCCATACTAGTGGTACTACATAACTGATGATGACAGCATAAATTGAATTAAATCGTTTTCCCTGGATAGTTAGATATCTTAGAAGAGATAACGCCGCCACCATTATGAAGATCGAGCCGATAAGCACAATAGTATAAACACCTTCGAGGATACAAAACAAGCGGGAGCAATGTCGACGACACATTAGACCTTGAATGATCAATAATGGATTCGCCGTGAGGCTATTAAGAACTGAATTGATAAACATGGCTAGCACCAACGTGTGATACGATGAATGCTTGTATTTTCCAGCTATGTATCGCTGTAAACATCGGACATTTAAAACGATGCTAACAATTGACGGTGCCAGTAATAATGAACCTGATAAGCGACTTATTATACACGTCATATGATCAGCATTAACCTTGCTGCCAATGCATGGTAATATAAAGCTATTGTTTAAACCTGGATGAGATAATTGACTTGCTGATATAACATTCTAGCATAGATTATATTACTATTCATTCAAAAACACAGTGCTAGTGGTTGTTTTATAAATAACTTTTGACAGAGATAAGATAACGACAAAACTGGCTTTTCGGTGCATTTTTAAAATTTTTTCTAAAAAAACATATTGCCACAAGACTCAGCATGGTCGATTATCCATAGTCCATCCGCCTTTAAGGCTACCAAGGGTCACCGAGTGCCAGTCCTGGGACCCGTCGGAAATCCGATACAACGCCCGAACCACAGAAAATCAAGGTGTCACTTTACTCCTATTTTGAAGAGAACACCCCGGGCTATCAGCCCATCAGAAAAAATCAATACATCCTACGTGAATTTCGGTAAAGCCAAGTTAGTTTTCCAATGATCCTCTGAAAAACCCGCTTCAGAAGTTTTTCCAAAATTCGCTTTTTCGTACATAAATATGTGATCAGGCGTCTAGTTTTCAAAACTGCAAACTGCAGGTCGTTATCTCATCTCTGTCAAAAGTTATTTATAAAACAACCACTAGCACCGTGTTTTTGCATGGACAGTAGTTCTCCGGTTGAATTAATGCCCATACTTTTGAGACGGCGAAAAAATGTCACTCCGGTTCGATTTCCAGTCGAGGCATATTATTTTCTCCGGTTTAACTATCAGAATCTGTCCTCACCGCAAGAATTTACTTAGTAGTAGACACGTAAGTCTTCCTTCTCTTTTCGTCTGTTTATCAAACTCAAGTTCAAAATTGAAACACTTTTGCAAAGAAGCATATATATTTTTCTTATAGTATTTTTACCGAGCTACTCTCTAAAAAAATCCTTAGTTTACAAAACGAATATTGACTTTGGCATTTGCTCCTAATAAAAACGGATATTCGTATTGTGCAATCCTGTTGAACCGTTTGCTTGAACGTTTTTCGCTCCATACAAAACCTAAATCCATTTCTGCAAGAGGCGGAAAACGTTCAAGCGTATTCAAGAGGACTATACAATATATATATCTGTTTCTATTTGGAGCAAATGCCAAAACCGATATTGTTTTGTAACCTATAGATTTTTTTTTCGAAAGTATCACAAGTGAAGTTTGGTGGTGAACAGCTCCGGCAAGAATAACAGCCATCAGAGTCTTAAGTCGGATACAGATTCGTGTACTACTTGGAACCTAGTATTAATATACGCTAATAAAAAACTTCAGTGTTTGCTCTTGGTTTAGAGAAAACTTTTTTGACTTGACAAAATCTATGTGAAATACTATATAATTAATTGTTTACCATGATCTTCGA